CTGGGTACCCTAGCTAGTAATAAATATATTCATACTGACAAAAATGTTCCTTAGTTGATGAAGTATTCACCATAGTACAAAAGGTTTGTTGTGAGGTGTATACAGGTATACCTCGACTTACATCGTTTCGAGTTACATCGTTCCCGATTATACGTCCTTTGTCAAAAAAGTATATGGAAAAATAAAAGTCAGGTTTAAGTCATTTTATGTTTGTCTGCCACAAATATTAAAAGTTATAATATCACTAGAAAAGCATTTAAAGCACATAAAATCATATTAAAATATATACATTTACAAGTATGTACTGTATTTACAGTATATACATTCATAAATTTAAATTACTTTTTTCTGTACTATAATAAAAACTAAAATTTATTTGTTTGTAAGCTTAAAATAGATCTTTATTAACAATATATTATTAAAAATGCATTAATAAATAAAATACAGAACTGGGAATGGTAATTTATGGTTTAGCCTAGTGACAAGTAAATTCAACTTGTGTCATTTTTCGACTTACGTTGCCTCTCCTGGCAACCAATTACCGATGTAAGGCGAGGTATACCTGTACTTTGTCAGATAATAAACTTTTTCATCATTACAAATATTTCTTTTATTGTTTTTTGGAATTTTTTAAAATAAAAAACTGTGAGATTTGTTATTTTTATTATTATGAAGGTTACATTGTTGTTGCAGTTTAAAATTACTATAGCAGGGGTGGCCAACCTGCGGCTCTTTGAAGGATTATTTGTGGCTCTCGATAAATGTACCTGAGTTCCCTTTTCATTTTTGTGTTATTATATTTTTAAAAATTATCATCATTCTGTATGTGTTTCAAAATGTCTTTTAAATTACTAACAACAAATATGAAAGACTAAGTGCAACATTGTAACAAATTTCATTTCCGTCCAAGTTAAGAATGATATGACTCATCGAAAACTGAGCGAACGAACATAAACAGTAGCGTAATCATCCGTTATCGACCGACTCCAGACCGATTTTGAATTTGTAAACTGTCATTGCAATGGACAGTTGACATTGTGCTCTGGAGGAAACAATTTGTATCACTCTTGCTACGAATATAATTTGTAATCTGGAATTTTTTGCATGCCTTTTTAATACCTATTTAATTGCGGCTCGCGAAAAATTTCAAATTTTGAAAAATGGCTCGGACTATCAANAAATCTTTAATACTTATTTAATATATATTTAAATAGCTATTGCAAGTTGCTCTAGCATTTCTGCATTGCAATAGGGTTATTCCTGGAGAATTATTATAAGAATGCATGCATTGATAATAATTAATATTAAATTAATGATAATTTGAAGTTACTTTCAGTAGGCTTAGAGTGCTACATATGGATTAATAGTAAATTAATAATATCATTGGTACTTATAGAAATAGTGAAACTATAATTATGTATAATGATTAGGTTATTGGCTATTCATTAATCAGTGATCTACTATTGCTTTGTTATAAGTCAACTTGGAGATGAAACATTGCAAGTGAATAGACTACAGACAGAAAACAAGAACTTTATAGAGTGATCATTGAACACTAACTGCAGAAATGATGCAAACACAGGGAGGACTGAAAATACTAATATGACAATAAGTGACCACATACGTTTTATTACTCACAGAGGACATGGAAATACAAATTGAAGATAAGAATTGAAGACAGAGATTAGTGTGAATTATTGATACATATAGAACTATTAATGCTACCAACGACTGGTAGTTATGAACTTCTTTACGTTATCTTCAGTGATTTTCAACATGTATTTTATTAATTAAGAATACTACAGTTGGAAACTGGTATTAATTTAAAATAAATCTATAAGTATAGTTAAAGTATTGGAATACTAATCTGTACAGACTAATTGCATATTAATAATTTTAGTAGCATTGAAATTATGTATTATAAATATAGTAATTTATATTATTAATGTAAGTAGTTGGAATTTTAATATTTAACCAGAAATAATAACTATTTTTAAGAGAGTGTTCATTCACAACTTTACGTTAAAATATAAGATTGTTAAATATATATGTTGAACATGTATGTTAACATATCTTTTGAATATATTCAGTTACAAACATTGTAAATATTATTAATATTGGTTCTACTATTATCTCATAACGTATTATATATATTACATATATATATTGAAATATTATATACCAATATCTAACTTGAACTGTATAGCTTATGTTATAACAAATAATATATAAATTAATACTGTATTATACATTTTATATTGTAATATTAATTAAACTTATTGTATAGTTTTTCCTGATAATGCCACAGCGGGGTCAGGATATATGTATATTACATGTAAAAATAAAATGATTGATTGATTGATTGTGGCAAAAATCACTGATTAAATTTTAAAAAAACTGAAAATAAATAAACAATTATGCAAAAATCAATTGTTTGTATTTGTATAAGACATTTGTAGAACATGAAGTAATTTGCATAATTTGTTGCAGAAAAATTAGGAGTTGTTTAGCAATACACCCATAAACATCTGTCATTAGTTTAGGACCACTCACAATAAATCCTACAAACAAAGTAAGTACATTCCAGAAACTTACTAAAACATATCAAAACATTAAAATATAATTAGAGTAATATATATTTTTTGCTTCAATATGGGCAGGGAAGAATTTGAGTCATGTACTTTGTCAAAAAATTGTAAGTATTCATAGTAAAAATATCAGCTATGCCAAAATTGCAACAACATTGGGGTGCAGCAAAACATCATGTATTCGTGCAGTGAAGCTATGGGAAGAAACTAGATATCTTTTGGATTGGCCTAAACCTAGAAGACCGAGAAAAACCACCAAATGCACAGATCATATAATTCACAGAATAGCAAAAAAAAAAAAAAATAGCACACTAACATCAACTGATCTCAAAATTAAAATGATAAAATGTGGGATGCCTGAACTTAGTACCCATACCATTAGGTGTCGATTAAATGAATTTAATCTATTTGGGCGAGTTGCAAGGAAGATGCCACTTGTATAACTGAAAAATAGACAATCTAGTCTGAAGTTTGCTCATGAACACTCGACTTGTACAAGTCAAAACTGGCAGTGTGTGCTGTGGTCAGATGAAACGAAGATAAATCTGTTTGGGAGTGATGGTCGCAAATACATAAGACAACAAAAAGCCAAGGAATTTCATTCTAATTGTATTCAACCCACTATAAAGTTTGGAGGTCGAAATGCAATGGTGTGGGGATGTTTTTCTTCGTATGAAATTAGACCCATTCACCTCATAAATGGGATAATGGACAGATTTCAATATAAACAAATTCTGGAAGATGTAATGCTGCCATTTGCTGATGACAATTTGCCTTTGAAGTGGATTTTCCAACAAGACAATGATCCAAAGCACATCGGTAAACTTGTCAAAAAATGGTTTCAGGACAACCATCTTAGGGTAATGGAATGGCCAGCCCAATCACCAGATTTTAACCCTATTGAAATGTTATGGGATGATGTAAAATTTGCTTTGAAACATAAAAAATACTTGAATAGAAATGAGCTATTTGTGGCAATTCAAGAAGCTTGGAAAAACATCCCATCTGAGCGTTTGCAACGATTGGTGGACTCCATGCCCCGTCGTTGCTTATCTGTGATAAAAAATTTTGGTTATCCAACAAAATATTAGTTTTTTTCCCTAAATTTTGTTATTGGTCCTAAACATTTGTCCAGGGACAAATTGAACTTGTTGCATATCATCCATTGCTTGAGTAAAAGTAATGTTTTGTTTATGAAATAAAGGTTATAATTTTATCAAATGAAAACAAAGTTAATATTTTTCCTGAATTTTAGTTTCATTTGTTTGGTTTTAGATTCCACACAACTTGGTTTTGAATATAATTGTTAGCAGTCCTAAACAATTGGCCACCACTGTGTAATGAATAAGTGTACTGAAAAGTACACTTATTCATTACACATTTTTTTCATATTTCTTATTCATTTTATTCATATTTTTCAGTCTCTTCTGTTGTTATATTATAATCAAACATGGAAATGCCAAGTGAACAATAGTAATAATAGTTAGTTTTATGACACAACTGTCATTTGTCTACAATAATAAATTTACATTTATGTTTAAAGCATTATATTTTTCATCTGTATACAACCTGGATTACCTGGAACCTGGATAACTTGAAGTTGCATTTACTCACTCATTTTCTTTCTCCAATCATCTAGCATAACATTAAATCAAACTGGTTAATGCAAAGTCCAAATTTTTTCCCCAACTGATTTGAGTTGACTAGGTTCCACTTATTTATACTTGTTAGTAACATTTGATTTTCATTCAAGTTTTTTATAAAATTTATATAATTACTAGCTTACATGAAGTCTTTTGAACAAAATATTTGCAAAATTTGTTTATTAATTTTGTTTGAATTTGTCTTGTCCCGGAATTAATATTTTGGGTGAAGACAATTGTATGAATACTTTAAATGTGAAAAATGCTTGTCACTGACTAATGCTTGTGAATCTAACTTTTGTGTAATTTCATAATAAATAAAGTTTACATAAAATGATTATATCACCACATCAAAATATTATTCTTTAAAACAAGAAATAACTACTGTCTATTTGTTGTTTTAATTGATGATATTTTGGCAGTAGACAGTAGTTATTTTTTGTTTTAAAAAATAAAGTTTACTATCAAATTATACAAAACTACAGACTGCTATACAAAAAATGTTAATTAAATTTAAAAAAAAATAAATCTATGTTTGATACAGCATGATTTTTAGCAAAGTAGAATATAATTTTGTTTTAAATTTTTCAGGTCAGATTCTTATAATTTCCTATTTAAACTATGCAATTTTTTTTTAATGATATTTTGTTCCCATTAGCTTAGTTTATCATTATCTAATACGTTTAGCAGATTACTTGGAAAAGCTTAATTCTAAAAATATGCAATGAAATATAAAATGAAAAGTACATGTGTATATATTTTAATTCAGTTACGAAATGACACCGGTTAGGAGTCGTTCATCGAGTGGTTCCGGTGATCCTGACAATTATGATATTGCTGACTTAAAATCGGATGACGAAACCGATGATGAATGTGCTCCAAGAAAAAAGATACCAAATTGGGCTCGAGGTAAAGTTTAGAAATATTGTATTTTTTCATGTGTAAATTCATCTTGTTTTTAAATTAAAAGACTTTATTAATGAATGTTTTTTCTTCTAATGTTTTTATGCTCATCACTTAAAATAGACTTTTGTGCATGTGTAATGACATTTTTATTCAAATTAAAATGCTGTTATCACTACTGAACTGATTGAAACTTATAAGTAAAATGAATGCAACAAATGATAAGTTTTGTAAAATTTGAGAGAATGAAAATGATGAAAAGAATGTTTTTACATGGTTGACTTAGAATTGACTTTTTAGTGAAAAATAGATATTGTTTAATTAGATTTCTGTAAATGTTAAAATCTGATTAAAACATTTTAAACTAATAAATATTAAAACATATTCAGTGATTTTGTTTTTTTAACTTTTTATCAAAGAAAAGTGAAATAACTTTTTAAATGTAATATATTGTTTCTGTTTAGCTAAACATTAATTCTTGTGTGAAATTATTTTATATTTTTAAGAATTAACATAGTAAAGGCACAGAGAAATTGTTTCTTGTCCTTATTATTTGGTTTAAATTTTTATTGCATTCATAATAGCTAAATTTAAGGACTTATCACATTATTGTTTTAGAAAATGTTCAAATAGAGAACAAGAGACAAATATTTGCCATAGTGTATTTATCTACTTATTACAAAATAATGTTTACTCTAATTATTTAATATAACAGATCACTCTGTCTTTATTTATTACATACAGTGATAAAACAAATTTTAAGTTATAACTTTTCAAGTTTTACAAAATTTAATATACTATTTCTATACTTTAGTTCCATATTTACAAATAATTCCCACTACAGTTTATTTTATTTTTTATGGTTAATTGTCTTTTTGATACATTTAAGTAGAAAACAGTATATCACTAGAAACTGTGTGCTATTACTGATCAATATCTTTTGTTTATAGGTATGCAACTCCGCGCATCTCTACTACAGCAACACTGTAATCCTCCCGATCTCAATGCTCTGTTTGGAGTTATTGGTCGTCCTGATCTTAAGGAGATCTTTCCGATAAAACGAGGATATTTTCAGAAAAGAACTAGTTCTGCAGTGTGGCCTTCCCACAGCTTTTTATCAAATTGAATGCATAAATGCAAATAAAATGTAACTGTGTGTTTTAATTCCATTTATTTCATGATTTTTAAGCAAAATTATTAGTTATTTTTACAATATATATTATTTCATAATTATGATTTGAAATGAAGACCATAATCACTTATAAAAAATTTTGTTTAATTTAATTAAAAGAAGCATGTATGGGTCATAATTGCTATTTCTATTTTAATTTCTAATTAACTCTGTTTTGTGAATTTTGATTATAGAAAAGTTCAACCTGCAGATTTTTGGGTTTACATTTTTCTAACCCAAAAATCTTATATATTATAGTGTCTTAGACTTTTTGCATTGACTTTTGCAGTATATTTATTAATTGAGAAATTGCTTAATGTAGCATTATCTACATATACTTTAATATTTAGATAAAGTTCACTGAAATCTTTAAAAACTTATTTTCAAAGATCAATTTATCTTATATGTAAAAGTTAAGCTCTTCTAATGCAATGCTTTGCTATCAAACTAAAATATTTATTTTGAAAATTAATTGATGTATATAAGTATGTTCTTTGTATGGTGTGGTTTATTTTTTTTCTAATGTAGATTAGATATTTATGTGAATAAATATAATTTTGTGATATATTCTAAATAATCTGAAAGGCTGCCAATTGCACAACCTTTACATATTGTCTTCATAATTTTCAATCATTCCAAATAAAATTTACTTAAATAATAATAGTAGTTTTATATACAGTCAAAGTTGCGTAAGTTGACACCCCAAGGGAAAGTGGAAATGTGTCAAGTTATCCAATGTGACAACTAAAGCGAAGTTGAAAAACCATAAAACTGCAATTAGGAAAATACAACAGTATAGGCTTACAATATATTTTGTACTCCATTTACAATAATTCTGTAGATGATAAACTGAAAAATTCGTTCAGTGGTGTTTGTTTTGAGCACTTAACTGTCTTGACTTTCCTTTCAACTATCATGAATGCCTTTAAAACATCATCGTTGCAATTGTCAATTGCTGGCAAGTAATGTCTAAGGATTCTTAATGCCTGTAGCGCATTGGTTTTGGGGTTAGGTCTTTTAGGGTTTCATTCTCTTCACCTCCAGATTTGTTATTCTCATCCTGAATTTCTTCAACAATATCAACAACACTCGCTAAATAACACACCTCCATGCAATCATCCGCTGTGCTGTAGTCGGTTTCATCAATAGAGGCAGTTTCTCATAGATTGTGAAAATGTCACAGCAGTTCATCCAATTGAACATTCTGTTCTTCACTCTTATCTTCATCTTGAACTGCCACTGTAGAACGAAATCCTGCATGTTTAAAACAGTTTGCAATGGTTAAGCATGTTACATTTTCCCATGCAACCTTCACGTAATGAATTGCATCTAACAGGAAAATGTCAATCGATTTTCTGCTTTCTACTGAATGAATCAAATCCAAAATAAGCTTCTTCTGATAATGATGTTTGAACGAATGAATCCAATGGTTGCATTACAGTGGCATTCGGTGATAGGGTAAACACATTAATCGTTCAACTTTTCCATGAGCAGGACAATTGTCAAGAATGAATGCTATGTTNGTACCAGGTATGTATAATTGTATATCCATCACACATTTTATTTTAACAAGTTTTAATAATTTTATTTTTAATGTTAGCCCTTATATCATCGCTAGCGATTTAGAATGTAATTGTGATCTTGAAAATTTATTTTTGAAAAGTTTTGGCTCAAGACCGTATAATGAAAAAGAAAACATTATTAAAAGAGAAAGACCAATGACTAAATTAAATATAAATACGTCAACAAAAAGTTTGTTCGACATTTTCACGATAAAATTTATGAAGATGTAAAATGGCTTTGTGGATGCATAAAAATACAAAAATTGTTTTGTTGGCATCATCTACTAATTTCAAATAAAATTAGTGTGGAATAAGAATAGCTTTGACAATTTAAATAATTTGAGTAAAGGTGGGAAAAAACACGAAAATCGTAAATCTCCATCGATTTTTTCGTAAAATTGAAGCAATTTGGAAATCAAAATAGAATAGAATTTAACATTAGTACACAATATAAAATAAATATTGAAAATTATAAGAAGATAGTTATGGCTAATAGATATATTATATTTCAATTAATTAATTAATTAGTAGATGTTATCGAAGCAAGAATTGGCATTTAGAGGGCATAAAGAATCTATTAAATCTAATACAACAGAGTTAAGAATATTGAAGTCGCTCATTTATTAAGTGCGTTAGATAATCTATTAATTAAAAATACATTTAGGGAAATTTACGGTTTTTACTGGCTTATCGAACAAATGAATACGAATGGGACCCTAGACCTTCGCTGACTTATTGCCCCTGGAAGTTGGCTTTTTACAGAAACACGGCTTCCCTATCACCAAATGTCACGGCACCCACTGATGTCTTGTGCCTGCAATCTGGGGTTTTAGTGCAAACACGTTACTTTTATTGTTCCTGCATTCTTGAAAGTTCTTTGTTCACATAAGTCTTAGTGAATTATAACTCAATATAATTACAGTCACTTCTCAATTTATGACGAGGTTCGGTTCCGCAACTTTGGACGAAAGTCGAAATGATCATAAGTCAAATTTCACACGAAAATAAATAATACAGTAGAGCGTCGATTATCCGAAAGTCAATCATCCGAAAGAATTCCAGTCAGCAAATTTAAATTTTCGCCAGTGCTGTGGCGCTGCAATCTTTCGCTGTCTTGGGCTACTGAAATATTTTNATCAAATTATACAAAACTACAGACTGCTATACAAAAAATGTTAATTAAATTTAAAAAAAAATAAATCTATGTTTGATACAGCATGATTTTTAGCAAAGTAGAATATAATTTTGTTTTAAATTTTTCAGGTCAGATTCTTATAATTTCCTATTTAAACTATGCAATTTTTTTTTAATGATATTTTGTTCCCATTAGCTTAGTTTATCATTATCTAATACGTTTAGCAGATTACTTGGAAAAGCTTAATTCTAAAAATATGCAATGAAATATAAAATGAAAAGTACATGTGTATATATTTTAATTCAGTTACGAAATGACACCGGTTAGGAGTCGTTCATCGAGTGGTTCCGGTGATCCTGACAATTATGATATTGCTGACTTAAAATCGGATGACGAAACCGATGATGAATGTGCTCCAAGAAAAAAGATACCAAATTGGGCTCGAGGTAAAGTTTAGAAATATTGTATTTTTTCATGTGTAAATTCATCTTGTTTTTAAATTAAAAGACTTTATTAATGAATGTTTTTTCTTCTAATGTTTTTATGCTCATCACTTAAAATAGACTTTTGTGCATGTGTAATGACATTTTTATTCAAATTAAAATGCTGTTATCACTACTGAACTGATTGAAACTTATAAGTAAAATGAATGCAACAAATGATAAGTTTTGTAAAATTTGAGAGAATGAAAATGATGAAAAGAATGTTTTTACATGGTTGACTTAGAATTGACTTTTTAGTGAAAAATAGATATTGTTTAATTAGATTTCTGTAAATGTTAAAATCTGATTAAAACATTTTAAACTAATAAATATTAAAACATATTCAGTGATTTTGTTTTTTTAACTTTTTATCAAAGAAAAGTGAAATAACTTTTTAAATGTAATATATTGTTTCTGTTTAGCTAAACATTAATTCTTGTGTGAAATTATTTTATATTTTTAAGAATTAACATAGTAAAGGCACAGAGAAATTGTTTCTTGTCCTTATTATTTGGTTTAAATTTTTATTGCATTCATAATAGCTAAATTTAAGGACTTATCACATTATTGTTTTAGAAAATGTTCAAATAGAGAACAAGAGACAAATATTTGCCATAGTGTATTTATCTACTTATTACAAAATAATGTTTACTCTAATTATTTAATATAACAGATCACTCTGTCTTTATTTATTACATACAGTGATAAAACAAATTTTAAGTTATAACTTTTCAAGTTTTACAAAATTTAATATACTATTTCTATACTTTAGTTCCATATTTACAAATAATTCCCACTACAGTTTATTTTATTTTTTATGGTTAATTGTCTTTTTGATACATTTAAGTAGAAAACAGTATATCACTAGAAACTGTGTGCTATTACTGATCAATATCTTTTGTTTATAGGTATGCAACTCCGCGCATCTCTACTACAGCAACACTGTAATCCTCCCGATCTCAATGCTCTGTTTGGAGTTATTGGTCGTCCTGATCTTAAGGAGATCTTTCCGATAAAACGAGGATATTTTCAGAAAAGAACTAGTTCTGCAGTGTGGCCTTCCCACAGCTTTTTATCAAATTGAATGCATAAATGCAAATAAAATGTAACTGTGTGTTTTAATTCCATTTATTTCATGATTTTTAAGCAAAATTATTAGTTATTTTTACAATATATATTATTTCATAATTATGATTTGAAATGAAGACCATAATCACTTATAAAAAATTTTGTTTAATTTAATTAAAAGAAGCATGTATGGGTCATAATTGCTATTTCTATTTTAATTTCTAATTAACTCTGTTTTGTGAATTTTGATTATAGAAAAGTTCAACCTGCAGATTTTTGGGTTTACATTTTTCTAACCCAAAAATCTTATATATTATAGTGTCTTAGACTTTTTGCATTGACTTTTGCAGTATATTTATTAATTGAGAAATTGCTTAATGTAGCATTATCTACATATACTTTAATATTTAGATAAAGTTCACTGAAATCTTTAAAAACTTATTTTCAAAGATCAATTTATCTTATATGTAAAAGTTAAGCTCTTCTAATGCAATGCTTTGCTATCAAACTAAAATATTTATTTTGAAAATTAATTGATGTATATAAGTATGTTCTTTGTATGGTGTGGTTTATTTTTTTTCTAATGTAGATTAGATATTTATGTGAATAAATATAATTTTGTGATATATTCTAAATAATCTGAAAGGCTGCCAATTGCACAACCTTTACATATTGTCTTCATAATTTTCAATCATTCCAAATAAAATTTACTTAAATAATAATAGTAGTTTTATATACAGTCAAAGTTGCGTAAGTTGACACCCCAAGGGAAAGTGGAAATGTGTCAAGTTATCCAATGTGACAACTAAAGCGAAGTTGAAAAACCATAAAACTGCAATTAGGAAAATACAACAGTATAGGCTTACAATATATTTTGTACTCCATTTACAATAATTCTGTAGATGATAAACTGAAAAATTCGTTCAGTGGTGTTTGTTTTGAGCACTTAACTGTCTTGACTTTCCTTTCAACTATCATGAATGCCTTTAAAACATCATCGTTGCAATTGTCAATTGCTGGCAAGTAATGTCTAAGGATTCTTAATGCCTGTAGCGCATTGGTTTTGGGGTTAGGTCTTTTAGGGTTTCATTCTCTTCACCTCCAGATTTGTTATTCTCATCCTGAATTTCTTCAACAATATCAACAACACTCGCTAAATAACACACCTCCATGCAATCATCCGCTGTGCTGTAGTCGGTTTCATCAATAGAGGCAGTTTCTCATAGATTGTGAAAATGTCACAGCAGTTCATCCAATTGAACATTCTGTTCTTCACTCTTATCTTCATCTTGAACTGCCACTGTAGAACGAAATCCTGCATGTTTAAAACAGTTTGCAATGGTTAAGCATGTTACATTTTCCCATGCAACCTTCACGTAATGAATTGCATCTAACAGGAAAATGTCAATCGATTTTCTGCTTTCTACTGAATGAATCAAATCCAAAATAAGCTTCTTCTGATAATGATGTTTGAACGAATGAATCCAATGGTTGCATTACAGTGGCATTCGGTGATAGGGTAAACACATTAATCGTTCAACTTTTCCATGAGCAGGACAATTGTCAAGAATGAATGCTATGTTCCTTTTTTGCTGAACAAATTGGGAGTTGTATTTGTGAAGAATTTTCTCCCAAATTTTGGAAGTCATCTAACTTTTCGAATTTGCCTTGTATATGATGGGCAAACTCTTCACTCCCTTGAAACATTGGGGTTGTCAAGATTTTCTTGTAGCTAAGGGCTTCAGCTTTTCAGAGCCATCAGAATTTGCTCCGAGAAGGATTGTAACTCTCAGCTTTGATTTGCTTACGTCGTAGCAACTCTTGTTTTTAAACATAGCAGTTTTCTCCAGAAGCAATTTGTAGAAAAGTCCAGTTCCATCAAGGTTGAAAATGTTTTTCAGTTTATACGATTTCTCAATCTCTTGTAAAGCTGTCTCTTTCAAAGTTCCAGCTGAGGTCGTATTGACAGATTTTTTTTCTCTACACAGCTTTGTAAAAGTCATGCTGTGGTGACCCTTAAATCTCTCTAACCATCCATCATTAGCGCTAAAGTTGGTTTCTATTTGAAGTACCCCAGCAATTTCCATTGCCTTTTGTTTAACACATTAACAGCTTTACGAGGCACATGTGACTCGTACAGACATGTCTAGTTAGGACGACAGACATAATTGCCCTTTTCCCTTGGGGCAGCACATATATTTTGATAACCAATAATCCTAAAGGCATGATACTTGATTTATCAATATTATTTTATTAGGTGCGATAAAATATATTAATTTAATAGTATGAGGCACAGGTGACTCGTGCAACCCTAGTTTAGTTAAAGGTTACTTTTGGATGGTATGAGTCATGTATGTCTTGCAGTGGTGTGCCGTCATTGGAATTGGTGGAAGCGCCGCTTCCCTTGTATTTTCTAAAAAATAAATAATCTACATATTGTGCGATTATTTTCATATAATTAAAATTAATATTTTATTATAACTGCATTATGTATCTTATTAGAAATTTCTATACTACGTGTGAAAAACGATAAGATTGCTATTGTATATTCGAATATTAGTGGCGGAATGGAAGCGCTGTACAGTAATACCTCGACTCACGCGAATCGGGAGTTACGCGATTTTCAAATCTGGTCGATTCGTCTTTTGTTTGAGCGCCACGCAACTCTTGATTACTCACTCCCCCCAAGCTGTTGTGCAGCTTACATGTTCGGATGTGTCGTGTGGAATCGACACATAGCTACAATTTATTTTGTGTTATTTATTTCTGTGTTTGTTATATCTACCGAGACTTGAGAGACTCTATGTGTGATTTCTTGTAACCATGAACGAATCAAAAGAAGAGATAAGATTAACGAGAACATATATTAGCTTACATACATCCGACTTGGATTTTACACAAATTTTGAAATTATACCCCAACTTACGCGGTTATCTCTTGGTCCCAACTATCGCATAAGTTCAGGGTATTACTGTATTGTCAGCTTCCAAACAGCTAGGGTATACTCATTCGCGCATGTGCTTTACAGAGCACCAACTTCACCCAGTTTAGCTGGTGGAAAGTACACACACATAATGCTTGCAATGATTCTATCCAGGACCAGTTCTGGCCGTTAGCCGCCTGCCTGCTAGATATTTGACCGCTCTCGCCCGATTAAGTGAATCATGAGTATATTTATAACTTTACTGGTATGTTTTTATGATAGTTCTGTATAGTTGACAGGAGTTTAAAAAAATCCATTAAAATATTTGATATTTTTATTTCGCTCTCCCATTTTATATTACTTACGGATTTCAATCTTAAACCAGTGATATTATGATTTCGTCTGTCCCATCTTTAAGGGGATGTAGAAAAAAACGTGTACAATTCTTGTATAATGTTAAAAAATTAACTGTTACTTTGGTAGCATCATTTACAACTAAATTTAATGAATGAGAGAGATGCATGAGGTACAGAAAAGCTCTAGAATTTATTTTCCTTAAATTTACGATTTATGTATCCATTGTCATAAAAATTTGTTTTTTCACTTTTTTCCCGAGACTACAAATATTCGAGTACAAAGTAACCGGTTTCGACTTATTTCTACTTAAGAAGTAGTTAAATAATTAAGCGATTAG